CCTCTCTTTGGCTCTTTCCTCATGTCTTTTTATTTTTCAATCTTTCAAATTTTCAAATTGAAATTGCATTTTTAATTCTCAATATTCAAGTATATATAATTATATATATATATATATATATATATATATGTCAGACACACACAGAGACGGAGAAGTGGACTTGCTGTACCTGTGTTATAAACACCTTATTATTATTCAATTATGTATCCATTTTCTTGATTAATAATCAATTAATTAAGTACGTGTGGTGTAGGTATTGGTTTCTACTATTCATGTACGTCTAGTGTACGTGTTGGTTTCTACTGTTTAGGAGAAGAATCTCTGTTTCATTTTAAAGATCCCCTCCTACAAACAACACTCAACACTCTACGCACGCATGCACCTGCATAGGCAACAATAACATAAATAGTAAATTTGGGGACGACCTGCTCCTTCATATGTTTTCTAGTTTTTGGAGATCCATGAATTCAAATCATCCAAAATTCCAAACATACCATAATTCAGTATATCATATGACAGTCCTTAAGCTTAATTAATCTAGCTTATGGGAATTAATAGTGTGTTTACTAATCAGGAATTGAAATTCTCATCATGATTTGAATTCCACCTATGAAAAATTTATGTGTTTACTTCGCATCAAGAAATTATAAAAGCTTATTTATATACATGCCCACTGTGCTTTCAAAGTTGTCTCAGATTACCACACCTGCTTTGAAACGTCTCAAAATACCACTTACACTTTTAATAACTGTCTCACGTTACCTATTCCGTCAATATTATGTGGCCCCCTCTTCTTTTCAATCGCTTAACAATGGAGAGTAAGGGTTATTCAGTTTGAGAAAAGGGGGGTATTTGTGTGAGAAGGGGAAACTGGGAGAAGAAGGCTAGGGTTTATGAAAATCTGAGGTGGGGTTCGGATTTGGGAGAATATGGTATTGAGATGAAAATCACAAATTTTTGGTGTGGTGCTTATATTGATCAGGTATTGAGATGTAACCGTTCTCCCAAATCCAAACCCTACCTCAGATTTTCATAAACCCTAACCTTCTTCTCCTAATTTCCCCTTCTCACACAAATACCCCCTTTTCTCAAACTGAATAACTCTTACTCTCCATTGTTAAGCGATTGAAAAGAAGTGGGGGCCACATCACATAATTGAACGTCACTTAATACTGATATAATAGGTAACGTGAGACAGTTATTAAAAGTGTAGATGGTATTTTGAGTCGTTTCAAAGCACATATAGTAATATGAGATAACTTTGAAAGTAAATGGGGCATGTACATAAATAAGCCAATTAAAAATAAAGTAGCACTGATATTCTAATTTCTAAAGAAATTAAGTAGTATATATATAGTTGAAGCTCATGGAATGGAAATAAAAAAGAAAAGGCATTGTGGACTGAACCAGAGGAAGGAAGCAGACAATGTCTAAAGTTAAATACTAAGTCAATAAAGTCAAGTGACCAAAATAGGCTTTTGTTGCTTGTTGGTAGCCAAGAAAGAGACAGTCACATTTATCTGGTTTAAAAAGCTTACGTCTTCCTTTTACTTGGGAATTATGCAACAAGTCCTTAAAAACAAACAAAAGAAAAGGGGAGCCTAGAAAGAAATCCTTAAGCTTTAGAGCATCCTAATTAATTTCGATTATTAAATAAAGTCTTCCATTGACTTCTCAATATATTTCTACCAAAACCAAATTAATTAGCTTGAGGATTAGCTCCCAACCCCCACCCTAGCCTAGCTACATGCCTCAAAGTTTCAACCCCTAACCACCACCATATATATGTGTGATCAATTTACAAGACTTATGATTTTGAACAAAGGGGACGTCATTGGGCCACAAAATAAGGCCTATTACGCGTACAAATAATAGCTTTTTCTTTTTGTTCTTTCTTTATACTACTCAATTTCTTTAATTCTATATGTATATGTAAAATTGTATAAATTTATGCATCTGAACTATTGAGTTTTTGCAATCATACAAGAAAAGATGCTATGTGTATGTAAAATTGTATAAATTTCTTCATGAATGGTATAAGACTCTTGTAAATTCAGTGTTTAACGAGTAATTTTGGCGATGTTACCAATTCTGTAATGTCATAACAAAAAATGTATTTATTAATTAATTAGTATTATATATAAATTCATAACAAAAGAACACTCAAATTAATGACGTCATCATGTGACAATAATTTGACCATAACACTCAAAAGTTGCTCACTAAGATGCATGCCATCATATAAATGACCCCCTCGTATAAAGAAAAGGGGGAAAAGTTGAGTTCAATTTGAATTTATTAAAAACGAAGATCAGTCCAATGGTTGATTCAAATGTCATCAATTTGACATTTAAAGTGAATATGAAATAGCAATATATGGTAGTATTTGGATTTTAAAATGATTAGATACAATGAATTGTTTGAAAATTTATGTAACTCTCGTCTAACAAAAGAGAGAGAGCACCCCTAGTGAAGAACCTTGAAGAGGAGAGAAGCTTGAAGCGATGGTTGCTTGGTGGTGGTGGCACATTCATTTTTGCACCTCTTTGTTTAAGCACATTGTTTCAGTTTGCCCAAATGGATGTTCTTCAATGACGTAGCATATTCCATTGCTTAAGGATTGTTTCTTCCTACAAGTTTTTTTTTCTTCTTTTTGTTGGATCATTAGAACAACAGATGTGACTATAGAATTGACATATCTCTACCACTAATTGTCTTCCATATTATGCTCTCTCTCTCTCTCTCTCTCTTCTCACTTTCAACTAATGTCCAAATCAAGTTGTTGGTGGGATGATATGATTCTCGATCGTCCTAATTAAGAAAATCTATTTCCAAAATCATCCAGCAATCATGTCATCTTCATGCCCAAAATACCCTTCAGAAAGACATCCTCCTCTTGCCCAATGCCCAACTAAGGCCACGAGCATGGATGTTTAAGCAACAACTAAAACTTCCTCCTCAAAACCCAAGTTTGGTTCTGACACTGAGCCTCACACAAGTCACAAGAAATTTCAAAATCAACTCTCTCTCATTGTCTCTCTCTCTCTCTCTCT